AAATCGCGTTTGCCAATTCGAGACACCTATGGCGTCAAAGTGGTGTATCCCTGAAGCTCAAAAGACGTGTGTAACAAACTACAGTGTGGACTGTTTTGTTTCATGGCTGTGAGACTTGGCCTGTTCAACCAGAGAAACTGAGAAGTCTTCAGCTGTTCGACAATCGTTGTCTCAGAATCATAGCTCGCGTGGGTTGATGTCGGTGAATCCGTAACGAGGCAATTAGAAAGCGAGTTTGTGCAAAAGATACCTCCATTGAGGAAGGTGTGCAGCATCAGAGGCTGCTGATGAGACATGTATTTCGTCCACTTACCATCGTTTGCCGAAAAGTACTTTTTTCCATGCAAATTCAGAGTGGTGGAAGCAGAAAATTGGCCAATTCTTGAGTTGGCAGAGAAGTATGAAAAAATCACAAAACATTTGGGTGTTGTTGGCGCTACTCGCCTTCCAGGATGGGGACTGAATGATCCTCACGGAGCCTGTTTGGGGACGCTGCAGGATTTGGCTGCCTATCGATGTCACTGGCGATCTTGCTGTTTCTATCCAGACTGCCTGAATGAGTGTTTGAGGTGTAGCCATCTCGGAATGATCGTAGTAAGCTAGGACTAAGTCCCTTCCCGGTCCACCTTTATTTTTTTCTTCACAATAAGGCTTTTAAATAAATCCTGGTTGTAGAGCAGCGACGCATCGATGTCGGACACTGGTGTCATGTTGTCGATGATGATGAATGATGATGATAAGCTAGTAGACTCGGAATTCAGACAACTGATTCAGAAGTGGTTCCTAGAACGCCTACCGGTCGATGTCGGATGTGACCAGACACTGGGGAGAAATATTCATAACCCTACTCAGAGCCTGAACATCTGTTTGCAGTACAATCCAGCCAACCTAATCCAAACATTAAAACTCTGATAGGACCACGCCTTTGATGGAGGCCCGACGACAAATTCCCGTTGGCTGCAAACACAACTCCACTCGACGTGTCACCCGACACCAGGTGAAACTGAGTGTCATTGCAGACCGAGAAGCTTGGTGGACCCGAAAGGCCGGAAAAACGAAGCAGGCAAAAATGCTGGAGACCCTACAAGCTGTTTCACTTGATTTGTTCGACTAGTCCTCGGAAGCTACTTGTTACTAGAGGCCAAAACGGCTATCTAATATCCAACAAGGCAGAGCGCTTAAATCGTTGGGAACAGTACTTCGAACAAGAATTCGGTTGGCCACTTGCTAATATCGACCGGAATCTTGGCCTTCAACAGACTGTGGGCACGGAGCAGCCTTCAACCTCGGAAGTATTCGAGTGTATATCCCTACTCAAGTATCATCGTGCTGATGGTCCCGACGACCTTCCACCTAATCTGTTGAAGGGTAGCTTTCTGTTTCTTAGTCGGTGCTTGATTAGCCTGTTTGAGTCAATCTTAAATAAGAAAACCGTCCCAGACAAGTGCGACGAATCGAAAGTAGTGCCCATTTTCAAAAAGGGTACTTGCAATGAATGTGATAATCACAGAGGTGTTGGTTTGACTCGTGTTGTGGCAAGGCTTCCGGCGTCACTGATTCTTCGCGGTCTTACGTTGGCAGTCGAAACCTTGACTCGTGAGAACCAAGCAAAATTTCGAACGGGTAGAGGCTGAGTTGACCACATCTCTACACTCCATCAGGTGTTAGAGCAACGTCATAAGTACGGACGAGTCACAATCTTGGTAGTCCTTGACTTCAAGGGTACGTTTGATTCTGCCGATCGGTCAGTGCTGTTAATTACACTTGCTCAACAGGGTACGACCGGGAAGTTTGAACATAATCCGATCCCTATATCCACATACTTCTGGGTGAGTGAGCGTGTATGGCGAACTCTCCAAAAAGTGGTGTCAGATGAGGATGTCCACTCTATCCATTCTTGTTCCACTTCCTCATTGAAGAAATAATGAGGCGAACGCTGAGCGGTCTCCAAAACCCCGATGTTCTAATTATCCCTGGTGGGATCCTTGTCGATCTGGAGTACGCAGATGACATTGTCCTCATCTTTGAAGACCAAAGTGAAGCACAAGTCCAGTTGAATGGACTGACCATAATCATTCCATCTTTCGGCATGACCCTAACACCCTCGAAGTCCAGAGTGATGTTTCAGAACGTACAGCCTTTGAACATAAAACTTACAATTTAAGAAACTCCGGCGTTCAAATATCCTGTGACGAAAACCTCGTCCATCTAGAATATACAGACGAAATCGTTCTGACCTTCGGAAAGGACAATGTCCAAGAGTTTTTGGATGAACTGAGCAGTTATCCCGCCCTTTGGTATGCACTGTGCACCCACAAACTGTAAGGTCATGCTCCTGAGTATGCAGTAACTGAACACGCCACCTCCAATTCAGAGAGAGGTACTGGATGTCGTGGAGATTTTTACGTATCTTGGAAGTTGTATTAGTTCTTATTGTAGTGTGACAAATTAGGTCAAAGCACGAATCCGCAAGTCTCAAATCGCGTTTGCCAATTCGAGACACCTATGGCGTCAAAGTGGTGTATCCCTGAAGCTCAAAAGACGTGTGTAACAAACTACAGTGTGGACTGTTTTGTTTCATGGCTGTGAGACTTGGCCTGTTCAACCAGAGAAACTGAGAAGTCTTCAGCTGTTCGACAATCGTTGTCTCAGAATCATAGCTCGCGTGGGTTGATGTCGGTGAATCCGTAACGAGGCAATTAGAAAGCGAGTTTGTGCAAAAGATACCTCCATTGAGGAAGGTGTGCAGCATCAGAGGCTGCTGATGAGACATGTATTTCGTCCACTTACCATCGTTTGCCGAAAAGTACTTTTTTCCATGCAAATTCAGAGTGGTGGAAGCAGAGAATTGGCCAATTCTTGAGTTGGCAGAGAAGTATGAAAAAATCACAAAACATTTGGGTGTTGTTGGCGCTACTCGCCTTCCAGGATGGGGACTGAATGATCCTCACGGAGCCTGTTTGGGGACGCTGCAGGATTTGGCTGCCTATCGATGTCACTGGCGATCTTGCTGTTTCTATCCAGACTGCCTGAATGAGTGTTTGAGGTGTAGCCATCTCGGAATGATCGTAGTAAGCTAGGACTAAGTCCCTTCCCGGTCCAACTTTATTTTTTTCTTCACAATAAGGCTTTTAAATAAATCCTGGTTGTAGAGCAGCGACGCATCGATGTCGGACACTGGTGTCATGTTGTCGATGATGATGAATGATGATGATAAGCTAGTAGACTCGGAATTCAGACAACTGATTCAGAAGTGGTTCCTAGAACGCCTACCGGTCGATGTCGGATGTGACCAAACACTGGGGAGAAATATTCATAACCCTAATCAGAGCCTGAACATCTGTTTGCAGTACAATCCAGCCAACCTAATCCAAACATTAAAACTCTGATAGGACCACGCCTTTGATGGAGGCCCGACGACAAATTCCCGTTGGCTGCAAACACAACTCCACTCGACGTGTCACCCGACACCAGGTGAAACTGAGTGTCATTGCAGACCGAGAAGCTTGGTGGACCCGAAAGGCCGGAAAAACGAAGCAGGCAAAAATGCTGGAGACCCTACAAGCTGTTTCACTTGATTTGTTCGACTAGTCCTCGGAAGCTACTTGTTACTAGAGGCCAAAACGGCTATCTAATATCCAACAAGGCAGAGCGCTTAAATCGTTGGGAACAGTACTTCGAACAAGAATTCGGTTGGCCACTTGCTAATATCGACCGGAATCTTGGCCTTCAACAGACTGTGGGCACGGAGCAGCCTTCAACCTCGGAAGTATTCGAGTGTATATCCCTACTCAAGTATCATCGTGCTGATGGTCCCGACGACCTTCCACCTAATCTGTTGAAGGGTAGCTTTCTGTTTCTTAGTCGGTGCTTGATTAGCCTGTTTGAGTCAATCTTAAATAAGAAAACCGTCCCAGACAAGTGCGACGAATCGAAAGTAGTGCCCATTTTCAAAAAGGGTACTTGCAATGAATGTGATAATCACAGAGGTGTTGGTTTGACTCGTGTTGTGGCAAGGCTTCCGGCGTCACTGATTCTTCGCGGTCTTACGTTGGCAGTCGAAACCTTGACTCGTGAGAACCAAGCAAAATTTCGAACGGGTAGAGGCTGCGTTGACCACATCTCTACACTCCATCAGGTGTTAGAGCAACGTCATAAGTACGGACGAGTCACAATCTTGGTAGTCCTTGACTTCAAGGGTACGTTTGATTCTGCCGATCGGTCAGTGCTGTTAATTACACTTGCTCAACAGGGTACGACCGGGAAGTTTGAACATAATCCGATCCCTATATCCACATACTTCTGGGTGAGTGAGCGTGTATGGCGAACTCTCCAAAAAGTGGTGTCAGATGAGGATGTCCACTCTATCCATTCTTGTTCCACTTCCTCATTGAAGAAATAATGAGGCGAACGCTGAGCGGTCTCCAAAACCCCGATGTTCTAATTATCCCTGGTGGGATCCTTGTCGATCTGGAGTACGCAGATGACATTGTCCTCATCTTTGAAGACCAAAGTGAAGCACAAGTCCAGTTGAATGGACTGACCATAATCATTCCATCTTTCGGCATGACCCTAACACCCTCGAAGTCCAGAGTGATGTTTCAGAACGTACAGCCTTTGAACATAAAACTTACAATTTAAGCAGAACCACTGAAGGCTGTAAAGAATTTTACGTATTAGATCTGACGGAAATGTGTCTGATGAAGTCAGTGCACGAACCTCAGAGCCCGAATCACGTTTGCTAATTTGCGTAGCTTGTGGCGTAAAGAAGGCATATCACTGGGTCTTAAAGGTCATGTTCGCCAGTAAATCACCGATATTCGTGGTGATCCTGTAAGAATGGCCTGCCTGAAACAACGCGGGAGTGACTCGAACGGATGCCCCCCCTACCCACTGGTTCTTCAGACATGAATAGCAACCAGCTTGGGAAACCTTAACAAAAACCTACAAAACGCGCCTGTGCAAAATCTAGTCTATCCATTTACAGCATGAATACTGACCTGGGGTGTTATTGCCACGCGTTTCTCGCCGGCAGATAATTCTTTCGGCACCCCAATTGCTATGTCCTTGTACGGAACTCCAAGGGCTTCTTGTGTGGCAGCCGCGGGAGCAGCGGTACTTAAGTATTTCTTCGAAAAGAACAAACGACTGTGGTATCCTCGCGCTCCTCTTAGCCTGAGAGGCAATTGAATCCCACAAGCATGAGTCATGCGATTTGCAGGACACATGATGTGGCGCGCCGACGCGAAATGCGGGAGCCAGATCAAGTCCTCGAACGTCCTTGGAAAAGGTCGCAGACCTTGAGTTTGTAGTGTCTGTAATCCGTTGTCACATTTACCATTCTACCTGAACTTAAACCACACTTTGTAACTGTCGTTCACATTGTATCATGAGGTTTGTTTCAATGTTACGAATACACAATCTTCCGGGGCGA